AAAAATGTGAACCACGAGATACACTTTTGCACTTTAACAAAATAGTTCATTCGAAATTGAATATCACCATAAGATAAGATAATATTTCATTTTACGTAATATTTTACAAACTGAAACACTATATCAGTATCTTCTTCTGCCTAAATTCGGAGAAAATTCTCAAGAAAGGTGTGTTTTCTATCTAGTCTACTTTGTCAACTGCAAAGTTGGAATCAACCCTATTAAGTGTGTTGATGAAGATGTCTGTCATATTATTCACATCATTTTCCATTCATGTTTCCTTTTTTGATCCGTCTCGCAATATCAAGGCATACTTTTTTCCTATCCCAAATTCGGGTATGGATATCAAACGCTGGACTATAACCATTTTTCCCAATATCATTTAAGAACACTTCGATCTGTTCGATGTTTTTTAGTATATCTATGTTGATAATTATAATGACATATAATAATTATAATGACAATTATTGAAACTTTTTGGACATGTGAAGGGAAATCTTTATATTGCGAACGACTTTAATTTTTTCTAGTAGATGAACAAAGAGACTTCTGGCCCAAAATCCCATGTATTTTCTTATGGAGCTAAACTTTTTGCAATTTTTAGGTCAAACGAGAGTGGGTGGAGAGAAACGTGACACATAATCGATGCAGGATGGAATAAGTATCGGAGAGATTCAAAGGGCATGGGCCCCCTTAGGACTTCGCCCCCTCGGTCCCCTCAATACTTTGCCTCAACCCTTGGCCCCCTTGTGACGTACTAGTCACGTGATTCTGATTAAAAAAAATGTTTCGGTATAACATTTAAACCCAGGACGTCGGCGTGATAGGTTTTGTCCTTAGCCTCCACACCAATGTGGAAAATTTGAAGTAATTACGAGTTGTTGATATTTATAGCGGTTGTTTTGTCGGGACCGAAATTGACTCATTCATTATACCTAACCTCATTTCTGGATTTCCGTAGATTTTTAGGGAAGTTGTAACATCACTTCCATAACAAAATATACTTAGATTTGGGGATGAATTGATGTTTCATATAAAGGTGTCTTTGTCAGAGTTGTTTATGGAGTGATGTCTGTTTCAAAATTGAGCATGAAGGGTTTGGAATACGACTCGATGAAAATTGTATATTGGAAGCGCGAAAGTGATATATTAATAATGATGAATGATGAATCAGATTTAAGAAAAAATATGACAGTTTAGTACTTCAACGTGCGGTACCTCAATGTGTAAAGGATGTCTCAAAATACATCTCTTGAAAAAACTTGGTATCAATGTATACACTGGACGTCTCAAAATACATCATTTAAGAAAAAAACATGTCGGTTTAACGAAAGTCTAGCGTTCTAACATGTCAGAAGGACACTAAGTCGTATCTTCGTTAACCAAGTTAGCATCATAAGGAGAAGGACGGATAACACGCAGAAGTGTCAGAGTGTTACGTGTTGTGGAGTTAACGTGAGGGCAATGGGGGAGCGAAGTATTCGATGAAGACATTTCAAAATACGCTGTTTTACGTACGTTTCGACCGTTTTACATGCGTTTCAACAGTTTTGCGTACGTTTCGACCGTTTTACATGCGTTTCGACCGTTTTGCGTGCGTTTCAACCGTTTTTCGTTGTATAATTCTTATGCCGCACCTGGTTGGAATATTAAGAGCCTCTCTAGTTCTGAGGTATATTCCCAGTAAGTGGAGAGAAGTACGAGTAGTGTTTATACCCAAACCAGGTAGGATGGACTACACATTACCAAAAGCATTCCGACCAATTAGCCTCACGTCGTTATTTTTGAAAACTATGGAGAGGCTATGTGAGCGGTATATGAGAGAAGAAGTACTAGTTCACAACCCACTTCATCCAAATCAGCATGCATATACTCCGGGAAGGTCTACTGATTCGGTCCTTTACCATGTGGTGAAAGATTATTGGACAACAAAGAATCCACCCAGGGTATATTCATAGATATCCAGGGAGCGTACGATAAAACAACCTTTCCAACAATTACCCAGCAACTACACTCCAGGAATGTACCTCTAGTAGTAGGAGAATAGATACTCAAGATGCTCTCTAGTAGAGCAATAAGTATCAATGTAGAAGACATCACAGTGAGAGGATTGGTCATGAGAGGATATCCACAGGGGTCTTATCACCCCTTCTCTAGAACATAGTTCTGGATACCCTGATTAATCACCTAAACAATAATGGATTCTATACAATTGGATATGCAGATGACATAGTTATCATGCAGACCGGCAAATTTGTGAACACACTGTGCGATAGAGCGCAGTATGGGCTCAGATAGAAACATGGTGTAAGGAACACTCACTGTCAATCAATCCCAAAAAGACTGAGATGGTCTTGAGATGGTTTATCGTGCTCAAAACCTACCGAATACAAAGTGCACCTACCATAGATTCAGTTGGATTTTACTGCTTTTAACTGTACTATAGTCTGAGTTCACAAAACTTGCACAAACTGATGAGAGCGAAACAAACGTTTTCAAAAGTCGCAAAATGCAAGATAACTACGATTCAGTCAGTATTCACGTGGCAAAGGGTCACTTTCTGCACTACTTTTCAGCTAAAAATCGAACTTTTCACGTCAATGGATAGAAAAATATCGCACTTTTCATAGGAACCGAAGTAAACGTGACAACGTGATATTGGAAATACCTTTACAATGTGTAAAGGATGTCTCAAAATACATCTTTCGAAAAAAACTTGGTATCAATGTACATCAAATGTATATCAAAATACATCATTTAAGACAAAAACATGTCGGTTTAACGAAAGTCTAGCGTTCCAACATGTCAGAAGGACACTAAGTCGTATCTTCGTTAACCAAGTTAGCATCATAAGGAGAAGGACGAGATGACACGCAGAAGTGTCAGAGTGTTACGAAGTCACCGACAAAGAGAGGACAGCGCTATGTTGTGACATCTCCGAGTCTCACTTTGCACGCAGCAATTAAATAGAAGCCACCTTTGCAATACACGAATGAAAATATACGGGAGAAACAGAGACCTCAAGCGCCCAACTATTAAACTGAAATATATGCGGTGAACGGGTTTCCATACGAAATGGATGGTCTTTGCTTGTAGAACTTTCGGTCCCCGTGCAATGGCTCCGTACGTTAACATAGCTCTTATTATTGTAGTGTAGATACAGGTGACCACTCGAGGTAAAGACCCCATGCGCGTCCCACTGTCCTCCGACATTGCTCATAAGCCACATATGCTCGTTTTGCTCTACTCTGCAGGTGAGAGTTCCATGTTAGCTTCCTCTCGAGGATAGTACCAAGGTATTTCATCTCTTCAGAGCAATTCAGTTTGCTTTTGAATAATTCGGTAGGTTTTGAGCACGATAAACCATCTCAAGACCATCTCAGTCTTTTTGGGATTGATTGACAGTGAGTGTTCCTTACACCATGTTTCTATTTGAGCCCATACTGCGCTCTATCGCACAGTGTGTTCACAAATTTACCGGTCTGCATGATAACTATGTCATCTGCATATCCAATTGTATAGAATCCATTATTGTTGAGGTGATTAGTCAGGGTATCCAGAGAAGGGGTGATAAGACCCCTTCCTGCGGACATCCTCTCATGACCAGTTTTCTCACTGTGATGGCTTCTACATTGATACTTATTGCTCTACTAGAGATCATCTTGAGTATCCATTCTCCTACTACCAGAGGTACATTCCTGGAGTGTAGATGCTGGGAAATTGATAGAAAGGTTGGTTTATCGTACGCTCCCTCGATATCTATGAATATACCCAGGGTAGATTCTTTGTTGTCCAACCACATGGTGAAGGGCCGAATCAGTAGACCTTCCCGGAGTATATGCATGCTGATTTGGGTGAAGTGGGTTGTGAACTAGTACTTCATCTCTTATACACCGCTCACATAGCCTCTCCATAGTGTTTAAAAAAACGATATGAGACTAATTGGTCGGAATGCTTTTGGTAGTGTGTAGTCGATCCTACCTGGTTTGGGTATAAATACTACTCGAACTTCTCTTCCTTTACTGGAAATATACCTCAAAACTAGAGAGGCTCTGAATATTTCGATCAGGTGCGGATAAGAATATCCAACGAAAAAAAACGGTCGAAACGAACGTAAAACAACGTATTTTGAAATGTAGTCGTCGAATACTTCGCTTCCCCAATGCCCCACGTTAAACCAACAACAACCAACTCCCTGACACTTCTGAGTGTCATCTCCTCCTCCTCCTTATGATGCTAACTTGGTTAACGAAGATACGACTTAGTGTCCTTCTGATCAAATCTGTCTGTTTTTCCGTTAACCAGCTGTCGCACCCCTTCGAACGACAACCCTCAGAAGTCGAAACTTGTGCGAGCTAAGGATTAACGATGTCTTGCCTTTTAACGTGTGATTCCTAACATGTTGGAACGCTTGACTTCGGTTAAACCGCTATGTTTTTTCTCAAATGATGTATTTTGGAACGTTCTGTGTATACACTGATAACATTTTTCACATTCGCTCACAGTCGCTTCCGTGATATTTGTTAATATTAAGTTTAAACGAAACCATTCCATAGACTTCAGTTCATTGAGATTAGTTAGACAAGCTAACAACAACAGACATCTAGATGCTTACGAGAGTGTAGAAATAAGTAAACATAATAATATTATGAATAACTATGGTGGACCAATGTCTATTAGTATACTATATAGCTTGTTGAAATGATTTTATTGGACCCCACAGGATATATTTCGATTTATCCTTTCCAAAGCTCGTCTATCAGATATATTCCTCACAGTTATAGAGGGCTGTGGAGAAACATTCTTTAGAGGTCGTAGGGGTCTGTAGAGAATCAATCATTCCTCAGAGCCGTCGGAGACTGTTTGGTATGATCAAGTTGTTAGAAACTCAAGTTTCTAAATGCACAAAATTTCAACTATCAGATTTACCTGACTATTACATAAGGCCACATTGTAAAATTAATTCAAGACTAGTAGATAAGGCAACATTGTATTATAATTGATAAAATTGGAAAATAATATAAATAAGAATACATGAATCTACATTAACTACCGATTTGTGAACACAAATTTAGCTTTATTCCTCTTGTAATATTGCACCAACTTAGAGAAATACTGACCATATTCTCTTCCCTTCTCTAAATGAAGATAACTGATGATCTACAAAAATAAAACAGATGAAATGTACTTGAATATATAAATGAGAAAACTCACCTCAGCTTTCACAAAATCAATCCAATGTATAACAGTATCAAAAAGAATTAACTGAATCTTATCGGCTAACTGATCATTTTCAAAAAACAGAAGTTTCAACAATATTATTGTACATCTTTTGATTTCAGCTTCGTATTCCTAAAAGAAGAATTATATGCAATCTCGACTTGAAAAAAGAACTATAACTTACTCCATAGTAACTCTTTGTTTCAAATGAAGCATCATAATTGACCATCCTACTTTCAATTTCTTTACATACATTATTATAATAATGTTTATCGTTTATCACTACTTTGTTCGAGGTTGCTAGAAACTTGAATGTTAAAATCAAATCTTTCAACATATCGAAAAAGTTGTTTTCAATTTTACATTGTCCTCGAATTAAATCTTCTAAAAACATATAAGGTAAATAGTAACATCGACAATGATGAGTTGATATTTTTTACCAAATATTGATGAAATTTCACACAAGACATTGAACTTTTTTTTCAGCGACAGTACATGGAATAGAAATGCTGGCACTTCGTTTGGAGCATTCATTTTGAGTTTGATTCTCACCAAATCTTCATCAAACTGCGGCGAAATAGGATAGTTTGGAAGCTAGAATGTATAAAAAATATTTAACTTAAAGGGCTTATTTTTAGGAGATATGAATTTTTGTGAACGGAAGGGTTTGGCTTTTTACTTCTCCATCTTCATACAAAAAAACGTGGAA